ACAGTAATTCGCAAGTACATTTGCTCTCCAATCGACTTGTCGTCCGGATTGTTGCTAATAAACACAAAATGCCGCTTGATATCACGTCTCATAAATGCCACAGTTTGCTTGAGATAAAGAGTATATTTAGAAGGGAGACAGTGACAGCTTTGTCTTTAAAACGAGACATTACCTACAGGATTACTTGTTTTCTGTTCTCTTTTTCACTTGTCTATCTATTAACGTTCTCTCCTTTCACTTCTACAGTGGAGTAGCCCTGATATTCCCGCGGGAAAGACAACGCAATGGAGCAAATAATACCAGTTGTCCACGTCTATACACCTCTAGACCTGTCTGTATCTAAAGGTGGCATGGTTACTTGTGGATCAATAAGCCGCCGATTAATACATAAATCCTGATCCAGACATGTGAGTATATTGCGTACGTGCTGGCGCCAACTACGACATTCTCTTATGCAGAATTGGAAAATAAATTTTTTTTACAATATTTAAAAATTTTTTTCTGGCTTCATACATCATATTTATGGTCAGGAATGAATTATTGGTGGCTACTGGTTCTAATAAATTAATTAAATTTCAATTTAAATGGTATTTATATCATTTTAAAACCTTGTACTACATGCAGAAAATTGTGCAGTAAGAGTGTTAGAAAAAATTCATTTATTTTACAATGGTTTTTTATTGGAAAAGCATTTATTAATATTATCGCACGTTTAGTCAACTCGACGATGTGATTTATATTGGTGTGGAATTCTTTTAGTGTTCAAGAGATTTATATCAATAAACACTTTGTATTAATTGTAAAACACCAAGAAAAAGATTATATTGATAAAATATTCCATTCTCTAACTGAAAAAAAATTATATAATTAATATAATAATTTATTATGATGATTTAATTAAATGTTTTATTCATGTAAATAATTTTTTTCTTGGTTCATTATTTATTATTATTGTTGTAGAAATAAAATATAAAAACTTCAATTAGGTTTCACTTATAATTGTAATCATTTATCACTTGATAATATTTTCAATATTTTTTCCTCCTTCATCTTCTATAATTTCTTTCGATATTCCATCATGTGGCTTTATTGCTCATGACTGGAATTTTTTCCCAAAGTATGCAAAAAAAAAAAAAAGAAAGAAAACGACATGAAGATAAAAAGAGATTGGTGAAGAGAGAAATGCATAAAAATATGTAGAATAAAGAGATAAATAAATAAGTAAAAAAGCAGTTTGTGTAACACAAGAAGTGACGGATAAAAAAGAGCAAAGTGTGTATGTGTTACAGAATTTGCGTGTTGCGGTTTTTATTTGAAGCCTCAGAGGAGGCTAAAGTATTTTTTACATGCATTACTCTTAGCCTTTTGACAAAATGTTAGTGAATACAAGCCAATCGTGTAGGCTGTACTTAATAACCAGACTATTAATAGAAGTAAGAGGGTGTGCCTCGTCCATTGGTCTTTGAATCTCACCAGTGGATTCATGATCTTTTTCTCGTCATGATCTCCTTCACCATCAGAAGCAATCTGCGTAGATCCAGAGGCAGTTTGGCTCAATCCGCCTTCACCAAACCAGATTTACGGTACGATATGAAGGCAGAAAGGTGCAAAGAGAAAAGAGTAAAAAAAAAAAAGAACAAGGCAGAGTTGCAGAATTAAATGCAAATCCGTTTTAACGGTCGAATACCTAGTGGGTGGATCAACGCCATCAGCATCTTACGATATTGTTAGTGAAGTAAATTATGCTACAATAATGTATTTATATTTCAGTAAGAGAAAGAAAGAAGTTGAGACTGACAATATAATACTTATGAGAAATTTACTTTAGATTCTTTCTGCTTTTATAAAGACAGTTATTTCAAATATTTTATGGCAGCTATATTTTTCTGCAGTTTGGAATGAAAGAGATCACTAAAGAAAAGGAACATTTTCTTTTTCCTTTCTCTAATGTCTAACAACATTGATGTTTAATATCATCACATTTTAATGAACTTTTCAAATTCACTTCCTCTGCTCTCAACATCATCAACTAATAATTTTCCATTAGAGCTTATCAAGCTCTGAAAATGAAGAAAAAAATTGAAAATGAATTAGCAGAATTATTTATCAAAAAGGTCATTTTATTTGATTAAAGCAGAGATAATGTTGTGTTAATAATAGTATATAATTAGAATAAAATTCAATTATCTTCAAAACATGAATATCCAATTGAATGTAAAATTTATCTAGATGAATTAATCGAACCGAATAAATCATTATATAACTCTGATACATTGTCACATGAATTCAATCAAAACTTTTCTATGCAAAAGTATCCACATGGAAATTTTTAACATCAGCATGAGGTTAATGAGGATTGAGTGGGCGGTTTTATATTCTACTTTGTCTCCTTCTCTTTTGTCGTTGTCTCTCCTCAATCACAATCGTCGACTGTGTATGCTAACGTTTATTCTAACCAAGGAATAACCAAGTCTAGGTTTCTTCTAACAAATCACGCAAAGGAATTTTATTTTTCTTAAGCATGATTTTTGTTTATTTACTCTATCTATGTATATATTTTTCTTTTAACTGCCTACTGATCTAAGATTCTCTAAGTCTATTGTGAATCCAAGCAAAAACACACCTACGCTATTGCTGGAATTGCTCCTCATTATCTGACGTAAATCCTCTCACCTTTTATTTTATTTTCTTTCGCAGAATCGTTATGTCGATGTAATTTCTTTCCACGACCTTTAATCCTCTTAATCTTAGCTCTTGAATAATTGCTTATTACTTAGGCTCAAAGTTGTCAATCATATTTTGCTTTTTTACTCCAAGCTTTTTTCCTATTCAATGTTCTTTGTGCTCACTTTCTATTATCTCACACGTAATATATAATCAACATTAGCATCCTCCAAGAGTCTAGGTGCCGGTTTGAGTTTATAGATTTAAATGTTATGCACCAGGAAATCGTTTTCTGATAATTAACAAGCTAACTTATGTATATTAGTAAACCTATCATGCAAACGATTTGTTTGATAAAAGTTTTGATCGTTTTTCAATAATTATATTTAATGGAAGATTACTTCTGAGCAAGGTGTTATGCTAGAGGTTGTTAAGTAGCTGTTTATTGATTGAAAAATTCTAAAACAACCATCAAAACCAATTTCTTAGACTTTGTGGGAAATGCTACATCTTTTAATAAAACATCTTTTGAAATTAGCTTTAATTAAAATTAGCTATCTTTATAAGAACACATTGAGTTGAATTGTTTTACTTAACTCTAGTTTATTAAATTCTTCCTTTTATAGAATAATACTTGCTAATGTGACTATCTTTACTGCTAGAAGAAGAAGAAGTTGATCTCCAACCAAAAATTTTTGGTGGCATCCCATTCATGTTCCAGACCATGAACAAGGTTAAAGATTTTAGATTCTTGACTCGGTGCCAGTGTATAATACAAGAAGGATAATATTTCTCAAGAGTTCATTTTTTTTTCGGCTACAAAGATCACGCGAATTTTCTTGAAAAGATTCATGCGAGTGCAGTAGACAATGGCTCCCGACTGGTATATAAGACCGCGTGGGTTGACGTTCACAAGAAGGCAAAATGAAGTCGAAGAAACGTTAAATTTAATTTACTGCAGGACGATGGTACGCTGTGCTCCACCAAGAGTTATATTCTTACGACAGATAATTCTTGATCGAGATAGAAGTCTCGTAGATTTTATGAGAAACATTAAATTACTTTGACTTTCAATAAATTGCATATAGAAAGAATCATTGCACCGAAGAAAAAAAAAAACTTCAAGTTATTTATTTCAAAAGCAAACAATTAAACATCAATCTTTGGTTCAATAAATCTGTTTTAAACGTTTGGAGAAATAGTTCTCCAACTTCAATCAATTTGGCAAAATCTCAACTGAAGAAAAAAAAGCAGCTTAAAAAGTGAATGCTTTGTTTCCAGAAGCGCCGAAAGCTTTCTTCATCAACTGGATTTTTTTTCTTCCTCTCAGCAAGGAACAAAACTCACTTTACCAATTACAGACGAGTCTATTCCAAGCACGTGAAGAAACCGATTGGCTCGTAGCCAGAACAACATCATGGGGCGTCGAAACGTCGTCGAACTTGGTCTTGACTTCCGGGTGTGTTCTTTAGAACTTGTATACAATTGTTTCCGTTCATGACTACTGTTTAAGCCATCTCAATAACGTTAACTGAATGTAAGCAAGGTTTTCACTGCATCACATTAAGAGGGCAACGACCAAGGGGTGAGAAGAAAACAATAGAAGATAACCCAACGCAGCAATGTCGATGAAGATCGAATTCTATGGAGATGCACGCAAGTATTTTACACTGTTGCTTGGTATTATATATTTACTTGTGGCTTATTTCTTTCTCTTTTCAGAAAGAAGAAACGCTAAAAGATAACATTTATCGCGATCGCGGCGACCGTTTGTCTCTCAAGAGAAGAATAGAAGATAATAATGGTGACGATGCAAAAATGGATTTATAGCTTTAACAAAACGATTTATTCCGTTTGTTTTTTTGTTTTGATATAAAAAAATATCTCGGTCATGATTTGATATCAAAGGTTACATTTTTATATATTTTATCATTTTTATCAACATTTTTGTTATTTATATTTAATATGAAATATTTTTTTTTATATTCTAAATTCAACTTTCACGCATAAATACTTTGAAATCGGTTTACTTCAAACGTATCAATATCAATTCAATTATTACCGAGGCATTAAACAACGTCAAAGAAACTACAAACTGTCAAGTATATCCACTTTGAACTAAATACCAAGATTTGTTGACTACTTCTTGTACTTAACGTAATAACGCCTTGGAATCATGAATTTCACGCGAATATTCACAACTATTTCATGATCGTCGAATTAATCAGAGTCATTTAGATAGATAAGCTAAATGTTTTGTAAGATAGATAATAAGTTTTGATCTGATTAAAAACAAGTTTTACATAGTTACTTTTAAATGTTTAGTTCAACATTACCTTGCGCCTACGACGACTTGTTGTCTAGCCACGTCAAAAAGTAACTGCGAATATGTTGTCACACCATCATCTTGGAAGAGGATACTTGTTTCCGCTATATCTGTAATAAAAAATATTTTTATTTATTATTTTGCTTATATTATACATTAACATGATTACAGTTTGTTATTATTTATGAATGTTTAATTAGATTTAAAGATAGATTTGTTTTATTGTAGGATTTATTAATGTGGTAAATTGAGTTAATTATTGAATGTTAGTTTGGAATGGAAAATTTATTTTACAAAATAACATTTTTGTTGGCAAATGATATTTGTATGATTAATTAATGGTTTGCATGAATATTCACTTAAGTTTAAGTGCTAATTCATGTTGATTATCAGGAAATATAATTTTTTTATTCAAAAGGATTTCGAGTTGGAATGAACGTTAATGGAAGCTAGTAATTTTTAAAATTGGTGGAGAAAATTTCGAAGAATCAATTATAGTTGATGTTTTGTTGGTTGAGTAATGGTGATTTAGACTCTCCATCAGCATCATCACAATCATTTATGAACAACATAGGAATATAATAGCAAAATATATGTTAATAATAATCATGACAGCATTTTAAAATAATTCTGATTATTGAAAGTCATTTTTTCAAATTTATTCTACATGATCCAATGGTGATAAATAGTGAAGAATTAGAAACAGCAATATTTTTTCGATCACTCAAAAGTAAAGCTAAGTTTTAAAGGTGAGAAGTGTTTGTAATTTATCTCCATACTTTGGATCCTCTAGTCATAAGGATGTGAATCTTCCCTCATTTTAACAAAGGCTCTGCCCTCTAACAAAACTTTCATATAATAGGACTTTATTGGTGTGTTAAAACGTCACCAAAGTCTTGACTTGGACGCAGAAATATCCACTTTGCCACGGTCGTTTCGTGGAGCACATATATTATCCTTTAAAAAAGAGAGAAATGAAGGAATGAAGAAAGACAGGATACATATATATGACGACAAGCCGTAACGAGCCGTCATGAGCATGAGTACCTAACTCGTAAAGTAACCTTCGATTCTTCGACTTGATTTCTTCGAATAGGAGAAGAAGATGATGCTGTGGAATATATACGTTGAATTAAAAAAAAAAAAGGAAAAAACAAACGCGTGTATCCATACATGCGTAGCACGTTTCAATTCACCAACTAATGACTGACGAGTCTCTTTCTTCTTCCTATTCTTTTTCATGTTTTCTTCATTCTTGGTAATGTCAACGGAATCAAACCGGCGCTTCCTCTGATTCCAACTTGTTTTTCTACAACTCGACAAGTCTCCTGAGGAATTGCTATTTTTCTTGGAATAATTGGAAATATTTTCTCAAGCCACGCTTAGTTATATAACAATAAAATATCATGACATTCTTTTAGCATCTCCAAGCACAATGGAGAACACATTGAGAACAAGAAACGGATATTAGCCATTCGGAATGAGGAATAATAAACAGTTTAATGCACTATTAAGGATATAATGGATAGTGAATAGATATGATCAGATTTATTTTCTCAATAATTCATCACCTATCTGTAGAGTGAATGTAAAGTAATAATAATGTTACTTTGTAAAAAGAAGGTTTTTCCAGGTGAGTAATGACGTTAAGTGATTTTCAATTATTTTAATCATTTTAATTTAACTTCCTTGGTATTTTTAGATTATCTCATGATTATCACTAATGGGTTTGTTATTACTATTGTTTTTAAATTGATACATTGATACTCAAGATGATATGTCTATATATTAAATGCTAGAAGAATAAGTAATTAGGAACAATTATTTAATATCCCCAACATCACTGTCTGTCTTCATATGTTTCACTTTCTTCAGGCATGTAGGATCAAGGTATAGCTTTATCAAGGTGATTAATATTGCTTAAAGCTAATATTAGCTTTTACTAAAATTTCTGGTGCTTGTTAATAAATAAATAATAATAATAATTTAATATCACAGATTGAATGAAAGTATTATTCATTTCCTAACTATTAATGATAATTTAGCACCTAAATGTCAAAAGAAATTCAAACTTTTTTATCAATTTTTTTTCTTTAGTGAATTTATTTAATAGCTTCAAGGTATAAATTTCCTGGTTAACTTCTTTATAATTTGACAAAAAATTTCAAAAAGTGTCTTTAAATGTTACTCCATTATTTTCAGCTGGAAACAGACTTTTATTTTATTCAGAAGAAATTTTGTAATGTTTTTTACTATATAATTATCTCATTAACCATCAATCTATTTTTATTCTTCAGTACACATTGGAACTGGGTCATGTTAATGAAGAAAACAATTTTTTTAAATAAAACTGAACCCATTGCATTTGCCTCCCCAACCAACTTGCATCCTTAAAAGGAGATTTAAATTACCCAGTACAAAATTAGGTATTTTTCTTTCTCCTTATTAAAACTTTACAGTTGTTTAATAAAAATAGAGTGTTAATTTTTTATCACAAAAAGTACGTTAATTAGCAACATTTATCCATTATCTTGCGATTAAAAGTTTTATCATTAAAAAATAATTGAAAAATTTTCAACAAAACAAACTTATCTGGAGTTTGTGTTAAAATTTTATTTAATAAATAACTCCATATGATAAAGACTAATTATTCTAATGAATTGAGGTATTGATGTAATTTTTCTTGGAAAAATTCAATCTCCCTCAAGTGCTTACAATTACATAACAATGAAAAAGTAAATATTTTTATTATCACAAGTAAAAAGAAAATGAATGTTAGCAATGATAAGATTAAAGATTGCATAAGTAAATGTTTGATAAATCAGTTTGACATAAATACTTGACATAATCGATAATAGGTTTTATTTAATTGACTAAGAATTTAAAAAGCATTTTTTTAATTGAAAAAACCCCTCATATACAACAAAATAAAAACCCAACAGAATCTTTAGAATGCAATCGAGATAAAGTCACACGTGCGGTAGTAAAATCTTGCAATTTCCCATCAGTCGATGCATTTCAATACTTTACTAACACTGGAATGTTACAAAATACAAGTAGAGGTGTGATGAAATCTTTGATGTTAATTAAACCTAAAAGAACTCAATATGATCAAATGGAGTATACAAAACATCTCTGGAAGTCTTTGAAGATTATTGAAGGGGAATCGATAATCAGTCCTTCTTAACTTTTATCTCCAAACAAGACTTATTTTTTTTTTCTTTCCATCAACTCCAAAAAGTTCGGCAAAGTTTTAATGATCAAAGAACTCCTTATCTTCATGCTTTGCGCGTTCGATTTCATTAATTTTCCCTCTCTCATTTGGTAGTCTTCTTCCTTCATGAAAGTTACTCTTGTAAAATCAGTTGGTCGATAAAATACAATCAAAGCCAGTCAAATTACAATTACAAATGATTTGCAAAAAAGAAAAATGATGTAATAAATGGACGAAGACAAGCATGATAATTTATGCAATTTTATTCTGGATCTTTTGTCAACACTAGACTTCCAAGATACGAAAGTTAGTGTGAAACACATGGTAAAGACCACACTAACAGTTAGACCACCATGCTCGGCATCTTAATACGGATAATTGCATTAAACCAACTAAACCCGATCTTTTTAGTCTTTCCTTCCAACGCAGACTTTTAAAAGCATTCAACAGGTTGCATCAACAACGAAATTCACAGGCGTCGTACTTTCTAAGGGATCTTACTTTGTATCCCATTACCCTTTTAACTCTTTTCTTCAGTATGAGGTACATGTGGCCATGTGGGTGGCGATCGAACGCCTTCATACAATCGTCGTCGATTAACGACGTCGACGATTCGTGATTTGCAAATAAGGAGAACCAAGTCCTCATTCTTATACACTCCTCCAACAACTTTGGTCAAATGGTTTCATTGACTTGGATTCATCAACATGTTCATGGTTTGAATTTTAAAACGTTATTCCGGCTAGAGTCTTATGTTTTGATTTTATTTTATCTTGGAGATATTAAACAAACCACTGGATAAGCTTCTCTGTTTGTTGAAATGTATGTCTATTTCACGAGCTTGTATACAGATACGATTGTATCATGTCTGCTGACTGCTGCAGTACACTGTTGCTCTATCTAGCAGAGTGAGCTCTATATAGTATAGACCAGGGATCTAATCTAATCCAGCAGAAGCTTCCTAGAACTCTGATATGCTCGTCAGTTCACCATGAACCAGTGAGCTGCAGCTAATCTCATCCCAGTACTCCAAAGACCAGCTAGATAGAATTTTATATTTTAATTGTTGAAGATGATATTTTTTGTTATTTTATCTAAAATGATTTTTCAGGTTCTAGCTATGTTGACAGTTGATAGACTTGGCTGTTTTATTGAAACATTCTTATCATCTAGAAATAATTTATCAAGATTTTATTTGCTTTTATTTTTAGATCTCCATTGGAGATACTTTAGGAATATTGGAGTATTGTTTTAAAACAGTTTGGAAAAAGAATTTTATTATGAATGATTATTAGAGTGCATTGAGATGTAGTAGATGAAGATAAATAAAATGTCATGATACATAATTTTTTGATTTATTATTACTGACTCAATTGACATTTATTGTCTTCTGCTTTTATCAATGACATTTAAATAATGATTTTAAAGGCATTTAAGTTGTTTTGTCTTGTTAACTTTAGTGAAAATAATATAAAATAAAATTATTTATTTAAAAGAAAATTTGTTGAATATATTTTATATAAAATATAAAATAATACAATCATTAATGAATGTAACATACAATAGGATAGATGAAATTTATCTAGTGCCAATTTTTGCTATTTATTATCACATCGTTGACTTGTTATATGAACCTGAACTGTAACATTTGATGTTGAATAAACGACCACGTCATTAAGTAGTCGTAATTTATCAAAGAATGAAAATTTTTTTTTAAAAATAAAATAAAGTTCAAGATAAATATACAGCATAGTGAATACAGGAATGTATCATTATATTTAAAAGAAAAGAATTTTTTCAAGATTTCTCCAAAATGCTTTAATCGATTTTAACCATCACTTCAACCAGGTCAATTGATACTTGTAAGGCTAAATACATTTGGTATTTATTTTCTTA